CCCGAGACAAGATTTTTAATCAATAGATTGGGCTGGATTTTAAAAGCTGCTAGTTATCAGAACTTGGGCTTTTAAAATTTGAAGTAATGTTTAATCTGTACATGTTTATGGGGGTACCACGTGATGTTTCAATATATGAACCTGGGCATCTTGAGTGACTGGCATCCTTATCCACGAGACAGAAATTTCTTGAATGCCTCCCTTGGGAACTTTCAGGCTTTCCTTCTCTTCCTGAGGCCCAGTGGGAGACCCCAAACACCCACTGGGCTGCATATGCCCAGCATCAGGTCATGCTGTCCTCCTCAGGATCTGCACTCAGGTTCATGTGGGCCACTCCTCCACACCCAGCCTCACCCCCACCTTCCTTCTAGGTATGGGGTCAGACATTCCCATGAGGGGAGCCAGGTTCTGTGAGTAAGTTTTATAATATATAGCCTCTACTGTTTTCAAGTGAAGTGTTTCATTTGGGGTAGGCTGAAATGATCATCAAACGTCCTGGAGGAAATGATGAAAAACTCTAAAGAAAAATAATTTTGCATTTTCTCTCTTGTTACATTTTCCATTCACTAAGTAAAATTGACTCCTTTTTTTCCATAAAAGTTCACGCTGGGTGTGTTTCTATGAAGAGTCATATCATGCAGCCCACATACACGATGACACTTATTCAGTTAGTCTGTTCCTAGGAACAATGTAAAAATGCATACATGCTGTGGTTAGCAATTTTCTTATTTGAACTCTAAACACCAAAGCTAAAAGCCCCTTACGTCTTCAGATGTTTGAAATTGCTTAATTTCAATTTTAAAGCAATATATTTTGTAATGTAATGAGATTTAAATATACCAGTCTTAAAATGTTTATTAAAGAAGATAATGTTTTTTTCATGTTTTAACAGTTCAGAATATTGATAAGATGAGCGCTTACTCATAGAATAAGTCTTATATTAATTTGCTTATCTCTAAATTTCTCTTTTACCTCATTTCCCAATTTTTGTATATGTTGGTAAAAAACCATTACCCACTTTCCATAAATGAGAGTACCATTAAATTATATTGACTTACGGTGTCATTTAAGTATTTTTTGATAGCCTGGTACTTATAAAAGAGAGAATTATATTACCTAATATTTAAGATCACACAATTATCACTTTGTGTTTATTTTCTTTCAGTTCATAAATTTAGAAAAATGTGTAAGTCGTATTTCTATCTCACTACTAAAACAGCTAAGCCAAAGACAAAACTTAAATCATTTTTTAATGCTACAAGGACAAGACCATGGCAATATGACAGGGTATGGCCACTAACAGATACTTGTACTAAAATAAGACCAGTTCTCTGCTGGTTTTTAGTCTAGGTCTAATTTTTCCATAGTTGATTTGTATAGTCTCTTAACCATTTAAGTGGTATGAATTATTTTAGCTTATGCATTATACAAAGATGATATCCAAAACACTTGTTCTGATATGTTTCAAGGACCATAAAAACATTAATCCAGAAACTCCAGCCCTAAAAATATGTCTCAAATAAATAGTTTAAAATATAGGGCATATGCAGAGTTGTGGGTCAGTCTTCAGCACCATATGAAAAACAAAGAAAAAGTTATTCCTATAAAACTTTTCATTGTATTAAAGTAGTAAAAACACCAAAATGAAAGCAAGCTAAATACTAAGACAAAGGTCACTGAGTAAACTATAGTAATCTATAGAATCTTTTACAGCAACTAAAAATAATAAAATATTTAAAAGCATATAGCTATCATGATTTTTTTTTAGGGGGGTTACTGGGGATCAAATTCGGGACCTTGCACTTTTGAGGCATGTGGCAGAACCACTGAGCTAAATCCCCGGCCCCAGCTATCATGATTTTTAACTGACACATAAAAACATAAAATTGTACATATCAATGAATACCATGTAATGTTTTGATGTGATTTTTATTGAAACAGTTTTTACTATAAAAATAATTGATGTTCTATTAAAGAAAATAAAAATAAAGAGAATAGATAGAAATATGATTATAATATTCAGTGAGAAAAACAGTATACAGTTATATTTATTCTATTATTACCATTTTTTTTTCAAGAATAAAGTAAGAATACTGGCTGAGCATGTTGGTGCACACCTGTAATCCCAGCACTCAGGAGGCTGAGGCAGGAAGGTCATCTGGGCTACACAGTTCAAGTCCAGCTTGGAATATATAGCAAGACCCCGTCTCAAAAAAAAAAATACTAGAAAATTGTTTTACTATTTTACCAGATTATATGTGATATAATTTATATTTTCAAAACTTCTTAAACTTAGCTCATCCTCATCCTTACTTGTAGCACTTTTCATTCTTGCCACTCAGATGAACCTATGAAGAGTAGAAATCAAAGGATTGATCCTCAGTTCTGCAAATAGGTATTCTGACTTTATGGCTGAGACTTTATGGGTGAGAAACTGAGGCTTCAAAAGTTGAGCTAACTTGCCCAAGATCACAAAGCTGGCAGAACAGGAGTTGACAAACATATCCAACTGTCTTCAAAAGACCTGAACTAGGCCAGGGATTTAGCTCAGTGGTTCTGCTGCCTGCCTTGCAAGCACAAGGACCCGAGTTTGATCCCCGGTATCAAAAGACCTGAAATTTTTTTCCCTTCCTGGTAACATTACTATGATGATCAAATGTTTAAACTTTATAGAAATGTATGCTGGGGATGTGAGCATCACCCCCTGCTGTGCTTTCAGAATCATACACACCCCATAGAACAGCAACCATAACTATAAATTTTCATGAAAAATAAACAACAGACTAGTAATACTCTGTACAATATTCTTTCTTTTTAATGTCTCAAATCTTTTGTTGCAGGGCAAAGCTGATATAGGAGATGCTGACTGAAATAAATGGTGACTGGCCAGAGCTTGGAAATATTTGCAATAGGAATGAGAAAGTCATTCGCTAATAAGCATCTGCAGATGCATTATTATTACTTAGAAATGATTAGTAATTTACTAAGAATTAGCAAATTAAACATTATTTTGGGGGGAGAAAACCTATAAACATATGGAAAATCATGCCCCAGATGTTTATTGGAACTATTTCAGTTTCATAAGAATATGGGGAGAGGGAGGATTCTTTCTAGCTGTACAAAATGTGCATTGTAGTCTGTCTTGCCATCCTCACCCTCTGTTTACTAGTAAACAAGCAGTAATTTGAAGTAGTGAGAAGTCAGAGACAGGCTCCTTGTCTCATTATTTCCAGTTGTGGCTTCTTGCTGCTCACCAAGCTTCTTAACCTCTCTGGATGCCCTTCTTAACTTTCTCCTGTGCTCCCCTGAGTGTGGGACTCTCACTTCAGCACTATACACCTGAGAGGTGTCCTGACTTCACCAGTTAAATATTTCAAAGTGTATTTATTTATTTAGCCATAGAGCTATGTTGTTCAAATGTGAAAAGCGTAAAGGAGGATTCAATACCACCTGCCTCCCACCTGCTCCTCTCTGAGTATCCCTGTCCCAGTTCCCCATTTTATTTTGCAAGCTTAGAAATCCCAAAAGACTGTTAATGGCAAATGGAAAGCAAAACTACTCGACTTAATCTAAATGAAAAGGATTTATTCTAAGGTGATGCTGCTCTTATGTGCTGATTTGACCCCGTCATTACCTCTTCCAGGTTTTCTGACACTTCAGACAGCAACACCAAACTACTACTGGTTACAGCACTTTGTCAAGAAAGTTGACTTTGAGCTTGCTAATATGCAAAGGAAATGGTCCTACCATTTCTCCATAACTTGGCTAATATTTATCATTTTCCTATTTATCATTTTCTTAAAAAAAAAAAAAAAAGCTCTTTTATCCTGTTGAAGGAGAGAAGGGAATAAGGGGGAAATTTGTTTTCTGGGCTACTTTGAGATTTTTATATCTTAGGCCAGGACAAAACACACAAGAAATAAAATATCCATAAAATGTGTTTAATTTCTCTTTAGTTAATTCAGTATTTGTGGTCTTTCTAACCAAGATTGCTTACCTCTGCTTTTATTTAAAAAGAAAGGGTGAGTTGAGCAAACAATCAGTGCACGGGGCACAGCTAGACAGACAACTAAAGTGTGCCTCTTGTCATGCAGTAGTGGTACAGGCCACTGTGAACAAAATGTCTAATTTATTAAAACAGATTTGAACCACTGCTGTGCTAACCAAATATTTTCTGCAAAATTTAAACCTTACAGCTTTTAAGGACTTTGTTTTCTTGACAATTTTGAATTAATTCGGTAGTTGGGACTGGAGGTGTGGCTCAGTGGTAGAGCGGGTGCTGAGCAAGTTCACAAGGCTTTGGGTTCAATCTCCATCACCAATAAAAAAAAAAAAAGTTAAAATATGGTAGTCATTTTGTAAGTTCTGGCGAGCACCACTCCCATCTCCTAAGGTCTGATACTGGAGAATCACTGTGCACAAAATAGTGATCAAAATGTAACTCAGTTCACTTAGAAAAGTAAAATAACAGTGATCACAACAGTGTTACAAGTAACAGTAAAGTAACAGTGATCCCGTCACGTAAATCTGTAGGGATTAAGTGTAACAAGTTACACGCTGTGGATCATGACATACAGTCCAGGGTTGGAGGTGGCTGCATTTGTTTAAGGATGAGATTTTCAGAGATTTTTTTTCTCTGTTCTATTAATAGAATAATTAGTTAATTAATTCTACGCATTCGCTCCGTCCACAGACATTTGTTACGAGCCTATAAGATAACAATGAGGATAATAATGAAGACCAAGGTCCACCCTCGGGAAACATACAGGCCAAGCAAAGGTTTACTTTCCAGCAACCACCGGGGTCTTGCTGTTAGGAGCTTTACTACTCCCCCAGGACCACGTGCGGCTGAGCAGCGCACGAGGTCCTCTCCGTAGACGTGGCCCAGCAGGGCGGGGTCAGCCGAGCGGTCCTGCCGGCCCCCGTGCGCTCCCTCTCGCGCGCCCTTTAATCGTGCAGCTCCGACCACCGGAAATTAGCAGAAGCCCGAGCAGCCCCGGCGGATCGCGGGTCAGCTCCACGCCGGCCGGGCGCGCCCACCAGTCCCGCCGGGCGCCCGCGGGACGCGCCGCCCGGGCCCTCTCCGCCAGGGGCTCGGCTGTCGCCCACCTCTTCCAATTTTAACCATTACCTAAATCCGAAGGGAAATGAGCAAACCTCTCGGATTGGGTGTCAAGGTATTTTCAGCCTCGTTGGGCGTATTTATCCCGAAGTGTTTCCACAACAAGCTATTTCGGGGCCTCGGGGCAGGTTTCGCTCTGCGGACGCCGCGGCCACTCGCCGGGCTCCAGTCCGGCGGCGCCGGGGGCCGGTGATTCACGGCTCCGGCTCCGATTCGGGGACCGCAGCCCCAGCCGGTGGCGGGGCTGGGGGCCGGGGGGTGGGGTGGGTGGAGGCCCCGCCAGAGGGACAGAGAGGCCGGGCGCGCCACCCCCGCCACTGCAGTCAATCTGTGTCCTGAATCTGTGACTTCGTCTCGCTCCGGAAGTCTCCCTGCAGCCAAGAATAGTTCAGTTTTCTTTCATTTCTAGTGTCTGGATGTCCAGACCTCCGGGTTCCCCCATTTCTCTCCATCCCACAGAGACGAACTGGGGAGAGCGGCGAAGGGGCGGACGCCAGCTGAGAAGCCCGGGCCTCCTCCGGTCCACTCGCGCCGCGGTGGAGCGCGCCTGACCGCCAGCGGGGGCTGGGGGAGGTCTGAGAGGGCAGCGCGCTGCTCTGTAACGCTCAGGAAGTGAAGCTTGTGGTTTTGGGGGCTGAGCTCGGAAGGAGATTAAGAAAGAGAGAGAAGGGCGAGGAGAGAGATTAACACTCAATAGTTGTACATATTTATGGAGTTCAGTGATGAGAGAGATTAACACTTAATAGTTGTACATATTTATTGAGGGGGGGGGGTGGAGAGATCTCCCGAAAGCAAGATTCTGTTTGAAAACGAGCGCGGTTCCCGGGCCCTGACACGGCAGGTAGGTGCGCAGAGCCTCTTCTGCGCCGCCCACCTGTGGGAGGCCGGCGGGGCGCGGATGCTGTGGGCGTCTCAGGGCGCAGGCGGGGGCTCAGGGAGAGCGAGCGCCCACCGCCGGACTCGGGCGCGAGCCCCATAGTGGGGATGGGAAGTGGCAGTAGGGGGTGAGCCAGGGGTTTGGTGGTTCGGCAAGGGAGTGGGATCCACCCGGAAAGGAAACATCTGGTGGGGAGGCGGCGGCAGCTGGGCTCAGGAGCCCCCCGCCCCCCCAGCGTCTTCAGCTCCAGCCTTCCCCGGCCCGGACCCGGAGGAGAGGCCCCGGCCCGGACGGGCTGCGTGCGTGCTGGTGGCGCCGCCCCGCCCCTGGCCGCCAGCTGCAGCGCGAGGTCGCCTTCCCACGCGCTCGGCCCTTCGCCCTACCACCTACCCCGCCACCTCACCCCGGAACCGGCAAAGCCCGCCAGGGTGCGAGAGAGGCGTGGGTTTGTGGCCCGGTTGAGGAGCTGCCTCCGTGGCCACCTTGTCCCGTGCAGTCCCCGCTAGCCAGGACCTCGCCCGGGAGCGGACAGCTCTCCAGCTCCCCACTAGTCCTGCTTGTAGCCATCGCGGGTCAAAGCCACAGGCAGCCCTAGGAATGGCTTCACTCTGTTCTCCTTTTCTTCCGAATTTCATGGTTGTTTTACGGATTGTTTTTTTGCACTTGTGGGTCTAATTGTATGGACAGGGCGGGTGCAAGAAAAACTGAAGCAGCAGTGGGCCTTACCCTCAGCCGGGGGCCATTCTGGCGCATAAGTAGCGGGGAAACGGCTCTGGGTGCCTGGTGACAAACAAGTCCGGCGTCCTTTCTTCCAGACGTGAACTCAGTTCGCCTGGGAAGGAGGCACTGTAGGACTCGGGATCTGGGGCAGGCGGCGCGCGCCTTCCAGGGACCGAGTACCCACGGACCCCTTTTGATGGAGAGCGTCTGTGGACAAATTTAATCTGCCTCCCAAATCTTGCCCGGGGGCAGAAAGGCCCCAAGTCCCGCAATCTAAACCGCGACCGGGGCCCCTGCCCCAGCCTGGAGTTCCGTGCACCCCGGTTTCGTTCAGAAAACCTGCTGTGCCCGAAGAGGCTGCAGCTCGTGTGGGATCTCGGCCCCCAAAGTCCTGGTCCAGGACGGAGGCAGATTCGTTTACTCAGGACCTCCGAGACGGCCAGGTCCCGCCCCGGAGCCGGCCCGGAGCTTGCAGCAGTCGCAGCCCCGCCTCCCCGCCGGGCTCAGGTTTTGACCCGAGATTAGGTGAACTGATTGGGGGTTAATGAGAGCGAAGCAGCGGACTGCCGGCTCCCGGAGCTCGGACGCTGCCGCCCGGCGTCCATCTCGCGTGTCCTCCAAACCTTCGATGCTCCACGGACTCGGGGTATCGCGCGTCTCCCAGTCACAGCGCGCGAGTCGAGCTCGACTTCCTTTCCTAGGACAAAATTTTTGGTGAGCAGAAAGGAAAGTGCTTTTGCCTGGGGCCCGGTTTTCGAGGTTAGACCTCCATGGTGTAGGGTGTCTCGCCGCCGTCCGGGTCCTGGCCGGTGCCCAGCTTACCAGGCCAACTTTTCCCTGTGCTGGGCACGAACAAGATCACCCGGACACGGGTTTTCACCCGGACCAGGGTTTGATCCTTTGCAGCCACCCCTTCACCCTCCAGTCCCGGGGTCCCTTCCCGCTTCCCTTCTTCAGTCTTCACTGCCCTTCCTTCCTCTGCTGCTGTCCCCGTCCCACCCCACCCTTCAGTCCTGCCTAAGTGCGCCCACCGACCCCCTTTCACTTCATTTAGTAGCGGCTCTTGGAGGGCTTGGCGCCTTGCCCATCCTGGGTCCTCGGCCCCTAAGACGTTCCGCGCCTCCCAGCCTCGGCCCCAGCCTAAAGCCAGACAGTGTGCGGTCGAGCGGAGGTAGCAGACCCAGTGGGGACCACGATCCCCCGAGGTTGCGCCTGAGGTTTACTGGGAAGGGGAGGGGCCTGGGGCGTGGGCAGAGTTGGGGAAAGGGCTCCGATTCGGCTCCGCGACAGGTTTTACCGCTGAGCGGTGGCAGCGTCAAGGCAGACAGAGCTCGCGCCACCTGTCCGAGTGCCACCTGGTGAGCGCGGCGCCGGGGTCAAGCCCCTCCTCCCGCGGCCGGCCTCGCTCCTCCCAGGCCGCCGCTGTCCCTGCGCCGAGGTGCCTAGTCCCGGCCCTCTGGGCTCTGAACCGTGTTTCCACCCTCTTATGCCCTCCTCTCAGATCTCTGCCAGGCCGAGGCTGAACAAGCGCTCCAAGTGACCGCGGGGGGACAGCGGCTCTCAGGAACCATTGGAGCAGAGTGGGGAAGGCCGCGGGCCACCATGCCGCGCTCTTTCCTCGTCAAGAGCAAGAAGGCTCACAGCTACCACCAGCCGCGCTCCCCGGGGCCAGACTACTCCCTGCGTTTAGAGAATGCACCGGCGCCCGGCCAAGCAGGTGCGAGGCGCGCGGGGGCCTCACGGGGCCCGCGACAGCGACTCCGCACCCGGCCACCTCACTGTCAGGGGCTGGGAGAGGCACCCGACGCCCCCTTGGCTATCTTGTTTCCTACTGTCCTGGTTCCTCCCGAGCGTGTCGTCTAGGCGCCACGACCTCCTTGCGGCCGTCCTCTGATCCGGGAGGGGTCCCAGGTCGGAGAGAACCAGGGAGGACGCTGGGGTGCCACGATGGGTTGGGGTACCTCAGGACCCCCAGGCTCAACCCAGCTCAGACTTGCTCCTCTCCTGACTCCTCTCCCCAGACAGCACTTCCAGTGCAGGCGAGCCAAAAGCGGAGCCCCGAGACCGTTTGTCTCCTGAGTGTCAGTTGACCGAGGCCCCCGACAGAGCCTCCGCGTCCCCAGACAGCTGCGGCGGCAGCGTCTGCGACCCCAGCTCCGAGTTCGAGGACTTCTGGAGGCCGCCTTCGCCCTCTGCGTCTCCAGGTAAGGACCACGGGGAGGTCCTGTGGCAGGGGCCGCGGGGAGCTGGTGAAACCTAGGGAGCAGAAATGCTAAATGGGTGTCGGAGAGGCTCGCCCGGAGAACGAGCTTTTTGTGGGTGATGCGGCCCAGCGGGGGAGCAGCCGGCTGCCCCTGGGCTAGACCGGCTTGGCTGCGAGTCCGCCGTCGCCATACCAGGCAGCGGGACCCTGGGAACGTTCGTGTGCGTGGAGCTGGCCCGTGAAAGAAAACAAACCAGGGGTCTCAACCCCCCGCAAAAAAACCAAAAGAAAAATAAAAACTGACGTTTCGTTTTCCGATCAGACTAGGATCTCAGAATCCAAACCTAAACCTCAAACAAACGGAGTCAGAGACCCAACCTGGGCAGAGAGCGCTAAGCGCCAGGCGAGAGAAAGGGATCCCTGAAGAAACTCAGCCTGCAGCGAGGTCTTTGCAGGCGCAGATGGGGTCTCGTTTCATTTTTCGTTCTGCCAAGATGGCCAGGCTTTGGGGACCAGCCCGCTGGGTTTCATTTCCAGAGAGCAGAGTTTCCTGCAAACCAAGTGACTGCAAGTCGGGTGGGGGAGAGACTTGGGTGTTAGGAAGGCGCAAACCTCGCCAATTCTGAAGGCTGATTAATTCCAGATTACATTTACTAGTTTTACAAGATAACCCCCACCCCACACTCAGTGACTGACTTGAGCAGAACTGAGTGGGGCTGGGAGCCAGCGGTGGAGCGTTCTTCGCGGCTGGTTGCCCCCTGGACCCTCCGATGGAAACTCGAGGTGCAGCCTTTTATTGCAGCCTGGACGGGAGTGTGCAGACTTGTGCGTGTGAACAGATTTGTAACTGCATACGCACTCGGATTCGTTGGACGTCTAGTTTTAGAAAACTTCACGTGGGTGGGATCATAAAGCTCTCCTGAGGGTGGTGACTAAACCTGATTAATTGTAAAATTATTCCCTGGGAAATTCATCCCTCCCCCATCACGCTGTAACAGGAATGAGGAGTCCTGGACGCCCCTTGCCTGCTGTTCCTTTGCTACTTGCAGTGTGCGTTTCACAGCTCTGAGAAATCCCCACGCCTTCCGGTTTTTTCAGACAAGTATATCTGCGGTAGTTTTGGGGCCCGTTTTATTGGTCCTCTCCTTACTTCATCATGGATTCTAGGAAGAAAAAGGATAGAGGGGGAACCTGTAGGGGCTAGGAGAGTGCTGGCGCTGGTGGCTGGATGCTCTGCCCACTAAGCGTGCTGCAGGACGGAAGGGCCCCTCTTTCCCCCTCTCTTATCTCCCAGCCTTTATGGATGCGCTTTTCCCCATAGGACTGTGGGGGTCCTGCCAGAAAAGATTCTTCTAATGACAGGCGCTTCTGCTGCCCTCAAACTGTTTACCTATCTCCTCACCCAATGTCATTCTTTTTGTTTGTTTTTTTGGTACTGGGGATCGAACTTGGGTCCTTGCGCTTGCGAGGCAGGCGGTGGAACCACAGAGCTAAATCCCTGGCCCTCAATGTCATTCTTATGGTCAGTTTGCTTCCCTGCCACCGGCCAGCTAGGACCCAGGATGGGGACCGCGTTTTACCGCAGGGCATCGCAGGCACTGGTGGCACCGGCGTGCTCCGAGTCCCGCACGCGCTCAGCGCCCGCCAGCCCCTCAGTCTTAAACCTGACCGGAGGCCTTCTTGTGCTTCTGCAGCCTCAGAGAAGTCCCTGTGTCCGTCTCTGGACGAAGCCCAGCCCTTCCCCCTGCCCTTCAAGCCCTACTCCTGGAGCGGCCTGGCGGGTTCCGACCTTCGACACCTGGTGCAGAGTTACCGGCCGTGCGCGGCCCTGGAGCGCAGCGCGGGCCTGGGCCTCTTCTGCGAGCGCACCCCGGAGCCTGGCCACCCAGCCGCGCTCTACGGCCCGGAGCGGGCTGCAGGCGGCGCTGGGGCCAGGACCCCGGGGAGCGGTAGTGCCGTGGGCGCCGGCAGCGGCGCGGGCCTGGGGCTCTACAGCGACTTCGGGCCTGCAGCAGCTGGGCTGTATGAGCGGCCGCCTACAGCGGGCCGGCTGTTCCCAGAGCGCGGCCACGAACTACACGGGGACAAGGGCACTGGCGTCAAGGTGGAGTCCGAGCTGCTCTGCACCCGCCTGTTGCTGGGCGGCGGCTCCTACAAGTGCATCAAGTGTAGCAAGGTGAGGCTCCTGAGCGCCTGGCCTGGTCAGGCCCGCGCCTGCGTCCCCGGCCCTAGTTCCGCCAGCGCCCTCATCCCGCGGCCCCTCTCAGCTGCCTTCTCCCCGGCCCCACCCACCTCAGGTGTTCTCCACGCCGCACGGGCTCGAGGTGCACGTGCGCAGGTCCCACAGCGGCACGAGACCCTTTGCCTGCGAGATGTGTGGCAAGACCTTCGGGCACGCAGTGAGCCTGGAGCAGCACAAAGCCGTGCACTCACAGGTAAGCGCAGGATGCGCGCCAAGCGCTCCGGCTGGGCCTCGAGCAGCACCACTCGCCTTCTGCTTGGTAGTTTTCTCCCGGGGCTGCCTGTAGTCTCTTCCTGCAGCTCCCTTTGCCCTGGAATAGGTGTGTAGAGAAAAGTGGGTGGTAGCCAGCGCAGACTTTGAGGCAACCTTAGATTTTGGTGCCACATCATTGTGAGTTTCCAGGAATGGAATCCCGATCATTCCTGGGTTTCAGGAAGATTTGTGTGCACTGACGCTTGGTACTGATGTATCAGATGTATTAGCTTGTTTCTTTGCCTGTTCTTTTCGACAAATTGCTATTTAATTTGCACTGACCTCTCCTGACTGACTGAAAGGTAGGATCTCAGTTCACTGAGAGCACCCAGTAGCACTTTTCATTCATTGATTTAAAACTGTTGCCTAACTCCCAGGTGCCAAGTATTTGAGTATCCCATAGCATACCAGATCCTTACCAGGATGCCTGTATGTAGATTACAGTTTAGCTGACAGTTTAGAGAGTAAGTAAATGCACAAATAACTATCAAAGGGAGAATGCTTGTTTTTAAAGATTTATTGACTAAAAAGAGTATCAGTCTATCTCCTTCAACACCCACAGTGGGTGAGGGGTGGGGGCATCTCAAATGGGTCAGCCTTCTGTTAAGGAGGGTGGAGTGTGTGTAACCAGTGTCAAAAATGCAGGGTGGGGATGTTTTTTGCCATGGGCTGTGGAGGGCTGTGGGTGAAAAGTGTTTTGGTAGAAAAAGTGTTAAAGGGTGGAGAGTGTGGAGTTAGGAAATAAATGGGAGGGTGGGGATAATGTTGCAGGCCTTGTGGAAAGGGAGCCATAGCTTTTGGGATTGTAGGTTCAGGTTTGTGGTGAGGAGGGTGACAGCAGTAGAGTAATATTTCTCTCTCTCTCTCTCTCTCTCTCTCTTTCTGTGTGTGTGTGTGTGTGTGTGTGTGTGTGTGTATGTCTGTATTTGTCTAGGAACGCAGCTTTGACTGTAAGATCTGTGGCAAGAGCTTCAAGAGGTCATCCACACTGTCCACACACCTGCTCATCCACTCAGACACTCGGCCCTACCCCTGTCAGTACTGTGGCAAGAGGTTCCACCAGAAGTCAGACATGAAGAAACACACCTTCATCCACACAGGTAAGTTGAAGGTCCTTGACTTGTAGGAACACACTGAGGCCAACACAACTCACCTTCTCTGATATTCTGGCTCCAGTGAATGGTGGATGAGGCTGTGCAGATCATGTTAATCACTGCCTGTGTTAAAGGAAACAGAGCGATAGGGTCGGGGATTTAGCTCAGTGGCACCGCGCCTGCCTGGAAAGTGCAAGGCTCAAAAGGAAACAGAGCCAGATTCATGGTTTTCCCCAGGGGGTTGTGTTTGTAGGACCAGCTCCTCAGCTTGCAGGTTTTTTACCCTTGGAAAAAATATTTCCTTTAGTTTAGCAGCCAGTCCAACTGCTGCCTGCTGTGGGTGAAATATGAAGGAGGCTCTAGGATCCTCTGGGAGTGTTGCCTAGAGTTGGAAGACTTTCTGTAGGGCTCCTACCCAGCTTTTGGGGGGGAAAGACTCATGTGTAACCTCTCTGCAATTTGAGGAGTCAGACAGCTTATTCAATGTGAGAATAAACTAAGCTGTCTGCTAACGTGGATGATCTCATGCTTACAACAACTCAGTGATACAGAAACCATTCCTTATCCCCATTTTAGAGACAAGGAAAATGAGGCAGAGAAGGATTAAGTAACCTGCACAGGGTCACACTGCTAACAAGTGGTGGGGCCAGGGTTCAAATTCAGATCGGTCGAACCTCTCAAATGTCTGTGCTCTTGACCTGTTTATCGTATTCTACTTCCAAAGTTATGGGAGTTGATAAATACAGAAAGCTTCTTTTTACTTATTGCCCTTTTCAAATTTTCAAGCCTTAATATCAGTAATTCCTTACCTATTGTAATGCTTTATAATTTACAAAGTGCTTTCAAATCTGTCATTTTATTTGATCCTTCCTTCTACCTCATAAAGTGGAAAGAGCTGCTCTTACCATCTGGAAACTCAGACATTGAATGATTTACCAAAAATCAGAGTAAATCATGGAGCCATTGGATGTTCTGGCTTCCAACCCTGGTCTCTTTTTCTAACACTTTATGTACAGGTGAAGGTTTTAATGCCAAGACCAAGTGATCCCCCTGCCCCCATAAGTGCTCTATTTAATAGTCAGCAGGACATTTACATCAGACTTGAAATTTCTGACAATTTTATTATATAATGAGTATTTATAACAAATTGTACTGTGTTCCAAACATTCATTGATGTTAAAAATATGCTTGCCCAGTATATAGATACTTCTATCAGAAAGCTCAGAAAAAAAATCCTATTTTAATCATTCCTCTTGCCTAAAATTTCAATGTAATTCACTCCTTATAAGTAAAAGTATTTAAGACACATCAAAATGCAACTAGGGGGCTGGAGATTTAGCTCAGTGGTTTCGCCGCTACCAAAAAAAATGCAACTAGGATCTTGACTGAATGCAACATTAATAAGCTCTTAGCAAACATTTACATTATAGCTAGAATTTGTTTCTCAGATTTGTTTGACCCTAATGGGATAGGATAAGTTTTGATGGGTAACTCTTTATCCAAGAAATCTGAAGCTTGAAGAGAGAAGAGAATGCAGCATGAGGGGAGAAGTTTCCTCAAAAACAAACTTCATCTATTTTGCATTATTTTCCTAAGGCTGAGTCCCTGCTAATACCATGCTGGGTCTACTTGGAAATTTACCCAGATGTTAAACAGCACATGAAATGGGGCAAAGATAAAACCTTTTCATAGTTTACTTGTGATGTATCAATTTGTGTTAAGCAGCATGTGAAATGGGGCAAAGACAAAACTTTTTCAAAAAAAGTAAAATCAAGACACAAAAAGATCAAGTATTTTACTAAATGTTTTATGGCTCAAATGTGGATTTTTAAGAGAGAAATGTCTGTGCCTCAAATACATCCTGAGTCCTTCAAGAACAAGAGGGAAGATGGGCTCACTGGTCCATACTAAACCAACACCCACGTGGAAACTGAGATTTGAAAACTTCCTCTGAATTAGAACAGAATCACAAGGTTTGTGGGACAGGCTCCTCCCACCTCCTGTTGAACATCTGTTCTGGGTACTCTTTGCTTCTAAAGTCAGGGGAGTCCTCCCAGGGTGGATTCAGCTGGGGAGGGCAAGTGGCCTTTGCTCACTCTATTTCTGTTTAGCAGGAAACGGTTTGAGGCCTTTAGCTGGGAAGCCCCACTCAGAAAGTCTTCCTTCCACCTGGTGCAAACGTGCTTTCCCAGGACCGAGTTGCAGCTTGGGAGTCAGTTCAAGCTCTCCCTCCAACTTGCTTGAAGGTCTTAGATTGTGGTGCAGCCAGCTGCTGCCAAGAGCATGTGGGTCACAGAGAGTCCCCTCTCGTTTATCATAGACTCATACTTCCTCCCCTCCCCCTTCCATCCCGCAGGTGAGAAGCCCCACAAGTGCCAGGTGTGTGGCAAGGCATTCAGCCAGAGCTCCAACCTCATTACGCACAGCCGTAAACACACAGGCTTCAAGCCCTTTGGCTGTGACTTGTGTGGTAAGGGTTTCCAGAGGAAGGTGGATCTCCGGAGGCACCGGGAGACACAGCATGGGCTCAAATGAGCGCCTTAGCTGGCTGCAAACAGCAGTGATACAACACTACAGAGGCAGCTTCCACTTGCTTCCAGCCCATTCGGACTTCTCAGGGCCCCACTCCAGTCTGCAGATCCCACCAGAGTGATTCCCCTTCACCTTACTTCCTGGAGCTGCCAGAGGGACTGAGGTACTTGTCAGAGTTCTTCCTAGAGTGGGAACCACAGCAAGTTACTCAGCTTTAACCTCCTCTACAAGATGTAAAGTCAAATGGGGATAAGATAAAAGCTTGGCCCACAGTTCTCCCCATTTCCATCCTTTTCCCTAGGCAGAAGTCCTTCAGGTGTCTTTCCTCTTCCTGAATTCCCCAGATAACTATGGAAGAAGAGGATTCACCATTTACAAATGGACACATGTTAATGCTTCTTTCTATCTAGACTGTGCTTAATGCTGCTTCTTCTGGGAACTCTGTAAACCCCTTTCTGTTGGCCACTGTCTGTAATGTAAATCTTGGGGGAATCATTTCTCCTCCTTGAAGACTGCTTCAGAAACTGATTTGGGGAAGGAGCTTTATTCTTTCAAAATCACCAGATGCACCATTTCACTCACCCCAGGAAGAAGCAAAAAAGTGGACTTGGTGCTAAGAGGGGATTTGAGGTCCTCTTGGCAAGAGGCCTATTAAGGCCTCATCAGAAGAGGTTAAAAAAAAAAAATATATATATATATGGAACAATGCCTGTGGACAGGCATTCATTCGCTCTGAAACTGTTTATTGACCACTGCTACCAAGGTCCTAGGCATCACACTAGGTAGTGGGGAGCCAGAGATTGAAGTCGCAGCCTCTGCCTCTACCTCTGCCTCTCAAAAGCTAACGGTTGCACCTCAAATGATTGGCATCTGTTCTTGTCCTCCAGTGGATTTCTGAGAAGACAATTCAGAATCTCAAACCTTCCCTTTCAACCCTTTCAGATTTTATACAGTGTAAACAAAAAAGTAACTGCAGAGTTACTTCAAAGTTTTTATTGTTAACTTGATATTTTTAAGATCTCTGAATGGTAGGCATGTGTCAGGGACGGAGGCTCTGTCTTTAACTCTTCAGCCTTCTGTGTGTACTATATAAGGGGAAAAGATATTTTTACTTTGATGAGGTTTGTACATGTTTTTAGATTTCTGGAGTGTGTTATGTTTGTTAATACATATTTATTCGAGTGATGTTTAAGTTAATAAAGTATTAAGATCATTACAGATTGCCTTTCATTTAGGCAGGAAATTTGTTTTTCCTGTAGAGGAAGTTGACATTTAAGGAAAATACAGTGGAGTGGAAAAGTGAAACAGACAAAGCAACATACAAAGAGTAAAATCCAACTGCTCTTGTTTCCATTTTTTTCCTTTAATGAATCATAGAAACATTTTTCATAACAATAAAAAAACCCCTGGAGTTGTATAAAACTAAGATCCTACCTTATAGAATCCCTGATGGGCCCATAGGTACAACAGCTGTTTCCTTTGAGAATTTCAAATTGTGTTTTTACAGCCAGAGGCTCCCAGATGAATAAAGGAATCACAAGCCTTTGGTCTGATTGGGACAAATCCCCTGACTTCCCTGATACCAGCTGTCTTTACCATAAAATGTAGATATGGTCCTATCATTCCAGTCCAACTCTGATTACTTCGACTCTGGAAACTAGAGAGGAGAAAAAGTATGAGATTGGTTAGCTGCTCACTGAAAGCAAATTACAAATCTAAAGATGCATGAGTCCCAGCTACTTGGGAGACTTAGGCAGGAGGATCCCAAGTTTGAGGCTAGTCTGGACAACCAAGCAAGACCTTGTCTCACAATAAATCAATAAATTAAAAGGGCTGGGGATGTGGCTCAGTTCTCTCTGATTTTAATCCCCAGTACCACAAAACAAACAAAATAAGATGCCCACAGAAAAGTAAAATGGGATCTGGGTTATTTCTCATTCTGTTCTACCTGTGGATTATTTTAAGAGAATGAAACTGGGATAAGGTCTTGACCTAAATCTCTATTCCCTGTGTTCTAACACTTTCTAACCAGACATTCAGCATATGTGTGGCTCATGGTGACTACCACAGATTGTCCATTCCCATTGAAATCAATTTCACATATACTGTTGGGTACCCAGAATGCCTCTGGTAAGGTTCTAGGTGGTGGGGATACAGCAGCGAGGACAATGTCCTGCAGAGCTTTGATTATTTGGTCGCCGCTATATCTTCAGTCCCTATAAGAGTGCCTGATACACAGTGATGAAATTAAACTGTTTCATCCTGTAGGCTGGCTGTGCTCTGTAGAGCACAAAAACACGAGAAATCGCTTGAGTGCCCCGGAAACAAGACACAAAAGACTTTCTGAGTTGGTGGGACAGAGGGGCTTTGATGTTGCTTTTCTCTGGTTCCTCCAAATCTCGGTCCTTGGCTGTCCTTCTGTGTTTTCCAGTACCACGCCTTTCCATGTCAGTTTACTCTTATTCACAATTCAAATTTGTTTATAGTACAGTTCAAAATCATTCTTCAGAACTGGTGGGTGATAAACAGTTGCAGTGTCCAGGAACCTTTCCATAGTGTCCTGGGAGGCAAAACACCTTTTCCACAGTCATCATGCATTACTGGTTGGTTGTCTCCAACATGGTTTGAAAAAGTAAAGATGTTGTACTGAGGGGTAAGTAGTACTGATTGAAGTCTAGGTGTCTATCCTCTCCAGCTTTTCCCTGCTGACATTTAGAATATCTGATCCAGGGGATTTAGCTTAGTGGTTCCACCCCCTGCCTTGCAAGTGCAAGGTCCTGAGTTCGATCCCTGGTACCCAAAAAAATAGAATATCTGGTCCATTTTCATTTTCCCTGTTTATGCTATAAGTAAGGAGCTGTAATTTTGATAACTTATCCTTTAAAAAAATTTATCTTGGTGTCCACAGTTCAGAATCAAAACAAATTACTGCGCCTATTACTGGGTGAAATTTGAAGATTGCAAATATCTCTCTTAACATTATTACTTGACTCCATTAAAAATAGATTGTGAATATTCCATGTCACATTATTCATGAAGCAGGCTCTATGCCTTTTGTCTGCTGGAGTAACAGTAGAAAGGGTAACAAGAGACACCGGAGCACACCTTTGTTTCTTTCACTAAATTTTTAATAACACCTCCAGCTAGCCAGTTGGTGAAGCTCAGCTCTTGCATAAAAGTGGAAAAGCACAGCTATCTCTGAGAAGCCCAGCTCTTTCAGGAGCTAATTTGAGTTTGTGTTTGTCTATGCCAGACATGATTAAATTACCTATCGAGTGTGCTGAGCTATCAAGATTCAGGCCACGTAAAAGGTGAATTTCATCTGATTGATTTGAGACACAAATGGAACAAATGAGTTTTAACAGCCCCTCCCCAATTAAAGGGATAGCAAAATATCACTCCTCCATGACTTGACTGCCATTGCCCCTGACCGAAAACTGGGTGGTGATAATGATTTGATCCAGCTCATTTTGTTGTGTCTGTTTTGGTTTTTTTTGGTACTGGGGATCAAACTCGAGTCCATGTGCTTGCAAGGCAAGCGACAGAACCACTGAGCTAAATCCCCATTTTGTTGTGTCTATTTATTTAACCTGATCATTTAACAGAAAGAAAGAAACTCAGAAGAAGACATAACCCAACTTCATTACTTCTTTGCATTTCTAGAGCATTATTTACTTAAATCTGTGCTGCTATATTATTTCCACAGTAAAACTTTTCAGAAAGTACATAATACAGTATATTTATTTTAATGAATTTCTTTAGACATTAAGACTTCAAAAATAAAAGTTCAAAGAAATTTCACCCCAAACCCTTGTAGCTTTAAAGTTTGTTAATTTTTTTGTTTGTTTGGTTTTGGTACCAGGCAGGCATGGCACCACTGAGCTACATCCAGGGCCTAAAGTTTTGTTTTGTATGTGTATGCCTTGCCAATCTTTATCCACGGGTGTATATATTTGTGTTTTAAATTTTTTACCCTGTGATCAGGATATTTATAATTTATGTCTTAGTAGCTCTTTTATTTACAATATGGACACATAGTTAAAACTGAAATATATTTTACAGTGAGAATTTGGACAATGTTGCGATTAAATTTTATTGAAACCTTATTATCTAATAGTTTTATCACTTATGAAGGCCTATTAAGAAAAGTTCAGTGTTATTCACTTTAAAAATGTACAAAATAAGAACCAAGAGAGATTATGTAAAGGTGCAAATATTCAACGATGAATGTCATTATAATGTATACCTAAAATGTACCAATAAAATAAAATTAAAAAAAAAATTTTTTAAAATCTAAATCCGGGCATGGTGGTGCACACCTGTAATCTCAGCACTTGGGAGGCTGAAGCAGGAGGGTTGCCTCGAGTTCAAGGCCAGCCTGGGCTACATCATGAATTCATGGCCTGCATGAACTACCTAGTGAGAACTTACCTCCAAAAAAAAAGTGTAAGCACAGTGAAAATGACAAAGAATAATATAATAAATACCAGTATACCCACAATTCTGCTGAATTTAATTCAGATTTTATTTTTGAAAGAAAATGTTACAGATGACTATCTCCTGGAATCCATTCCTCCTCGATCCATCCTTTCCCTTTCTCCTCAGGGGCATGACTATTCCAAAATTGATATATATCCTTGCCAGGAATAATTTTATGCCTTTAATTTTTACATACTCCCATAAACTATAATACTGTTCAGTATATTTTGACTTTATACAAATGGTATATAGTTTATATGTCCTTCTGTACCTTCTTTTTTCCTTAACACTTTTTGAGATTTATCCTTGTTGATATCTGGGGTTTTGTTATTTTATCTTTTATTTTTTTATTTATTTTATTTTTATTTTTTATTTTTTTCCCCATTAACTTCATTGGTACATTTTAGGTATAAAATAGTTACATTCATCATTGGGATCTTGTACCTTTACATGAGTCTCTTGGTTCTTATTTTTTTTTCCCCTTCCCTTGCCCTCCCTTCACCCCCTCCATCCTTCCCTATTTGCAAAGACCTTGTTTCCATTTTTTTCCTCTTCTCATATTTTTTCCTTTCCCTCTTTTCCCTTCCCCTACCCCTCCCAATTCCCCTGCTCTTTTAGACCTTTTCTTCCTG